AATGTTTTGCCCCTCTTGTGTTTATGCCGCCAGTGTCCCCGATTGAGCAGAAATGCCTGTTTGTGAATGATTGTTTGGGAAGTAATGCTGCCAGTAATGAAACGTGTTTGACACAGTTATTGTAGGAAGGTTTTTATGCCACACCACTCCCCCCCCCACCCCACACACACACAAATCACATACACACAAAACAATAATAAACATGTGATCTTGTTTTATACACACAGTTTGCAATGATGGTATCGTACCACTGGCTTACATGGCGCTAGCTTGGAACATTCCCTTAATTTCTCCACGAGGCAACACAAGGCTGATACGGAACTCGACCATCTTTCCCAATATCGTGTCTCTACACCCGTTCGACAAGTACGAGCTGGTGAAATTTACAGGCTATCTGATAGACAAGTACAAGTGGCAGCACATCACCGTCTTCTCGGACCAGGACAACCGGGCTTTCTCTACTACTGGCGAGACCTTCTTTGCGTAAGTTCTTTCTCCTGCCCATAGATTAGTTATTTAGTTTGTGTTAATGTTTAATGCCTAATTAACACTCGACATCATAACACTCGGGACATTCCTATATGCGTCATGTCCCTATCTTTAGCAGCAAGCGGAAAGTTCCAATTCCAGTAGTACCAATAGCAGTCTCATTGTATATCCGTCTAATTCTTCCCCTCAGTGTTGATCATCGACACGATTCCATCATCACTCCTCACTCCTCGCAGCACTATTCTCTTCAGACCAGGGTGATCCATCGAGCACTGCTCTCTCACCCCCACCCCCGCCTCCCCCACAGACCCTTACAATATCTTGCTTGTCATGCCTCAATTGACCACAAAGTTGTGCAGAACCAGCCAGTCTATCTGCCTATTCATTTCCTAATTACCGCATATCCTGAAGAAAATATCAAAAGAACGCTTACCACCCGAGACTTCTGAAGCGATGCTAGCCACTCTTCGCGGAGCATACCGGTCTCCACCTTTCTCAACATGCTCTGTGAGTCGGTTACGACATGTGTGTACAGCTGATTCTCAACATGCTCTGTGAGTCGGTTACGACATGTGCGTACAGCTGATTCTCAAGCCAACGAAAGGCTGCAGTTACTGCCTCCATCTCCATTCTCAAGCTGAACTTCTAATTCTACAGGGCCCGCTGGCCGGTCCCTTCACTCCCCGCCCAGTGTGATCAGAAGTCTGACTTTTTCTGGGACATTCAGACCTACTCCTCTCGTCGGCCAGTGTTAACAAGCCTGCACACATATTTAATTGTGTCTTCAGCTTGCGCCACCCAAGACCTTCCTTCAGTTTGTTTTAGACGTATGGTAACATCGGTATGTCAGGAAAACAGAGAGAAAACTTGACAAACAGACGAACAGATTGGCCAGTATGTAGGTAGACAAATTAACACTTCACATGGTGTATGTAAATGGGATCATGGTGGTTAGCACTGCTGTCTATCGGTACTGTGGTTATTGTTTCCAGTCCTGTCTAACAAATTTACCCTTTTCTTAGTATGATTCAGCCTGTAAGTTGTGTTAGGAAATCTTATGAGAACTCAGGCAACCGTTGTGATATTAATGTCGCCACCCATTGATTGATTGAGGGATGTTTTACGCATACAAATATGTGGCTAGTACTATGTACCTAATATACTGCAATGGCTGGAAATTAGACTTTTGTTTTTATTGCACTCACATATAAATTAAAATACATGTCTGACCAACAAAATATCGGTTCATAAGCAGCCAGTCCTGAAACACGAACTTCACTTTTATGAGACTGAGCGTTTTCCATTACCAGCAGATGACTAAAAAAAAAAAGAAAAAAACCAAAGCAAAATCTCAGAAGTGACATTTCACACAGCATTCTAGAGAAATCACTTCACCATCCTCCACTGGTTAAACATCGAAGGAAAAGGTTGGGAGCAAGTGACTGACAGACACATATACTCCTCCTGGAGATAATTGTGATAGGACAGTTTAGTAGACAAAATCTCTTGCCAATTGGCTTGGTTGTTGACAATGCTGAACTGGAAGATTTTACCATTAGAAGAATGAGCTCACCCTAGAAGAAGCTGAGTACCAGGTAAAGTCCTGGAAGTAAAGGCGGTCACGTGATCCTGACCACGTCACCAGCGGAGTGCCGATTGGTCTATATAATATATATTCTGCATGAATATAAAACAGGTCGTTTACGTGACTTAGTGACAGAAACCAACTTGATGAGACTACATAAGAATGACAAGTATTTCATGACATGCCATTTGTTTATTCGTCCCAAGTTCGCTTGTATCTCCGGACCAGAGCTGGAACTACGTTCCAATATCGACATCAACGTTCACTGACAAGGACTACGACAAAAAGCTGTTGGAAGCCGGCAAGACGTCAGTAGGTGAGCCCACGATAGGTCACACCCGTGGCGGCCACTTTCTCGTCTAGTTGAAGAAAATTGTTTCTGCATTAACCACACAACCACACAACAAACGAAACACATTATTTAACACACAAATTCTGTTTTATAAGCTACGCACTTCTGTCTATGTATGTTTTTCAAATATGTTTTAAAAAAATAATGCCAAATGTTTTTTTTTAAACACGTCTATTTTTTCCCTGTTATTTACACGCCATCATTATAGCAAGGCGACTGTGTTCAATATCAGAAACTGTGGACTAGTATGAGAAGTATGGGGTTTCCATCGCATTTAGTGCATTTAATTGAGAATCTTTATTATGAACAACAAGCAGCCATCAGAGCAGCAGATGAAACATCGGATTGGTTCGAGGTGCAAACGGGATTGAGGAAGGGATGCATTCTCTCACTATACCTATTCAATAGATACGCAGAAAATATAATGAGAAATGTCAAAAATGACCACACTTGTGACAGTTATGATTCGCTCAAAATGATGGCAACCGGAACCTCGCTTCTAACAGCGTAAAGAGAATAGAAAATTTAATATTGTCTGCCTAAAAGCACAGCGAAGATCAAAATCTGTTACTGAATTTAAAAAAAAAAAAAAACCGAAAATAATGTCCACAGATGAAACTGGCTGTCATCCAAAAATAACAATAAATAATGACGAAATTGAAAATGTCACAAACTTTAAATATCTAGGCTCTATAATAAATAGCAATAGAGACTCCAGTGTTGCCACTTTGGATCTTTTATATCCAAATTTAGATCTTTTTCATTGCATTTAGATACTGTTTTTGACGTTTAGATCGTAAATATTTTTCTAGAAACTTTTCATATAGAGTAAGATTTTATAGATTTTTTTTGTCTTTCATTGTCAATTTAATAATTACTGTGTAAATATTTACTACAATATTTTTGTTTTGGTCTGACATGTACATTGTGACAACTGCCATTACTTGAACTTTGAACTCACAACTATCTGGCAGCCCCGGTACTAATTAATAAAAACGCGCGTAAATCATACTAACTTTGTTTCAACCGTATCCTCACTGTGCTGACTTTGTGTTTCTTTTTCATGCGATTAAAAAAAAATAATTGCTCACCTTCTTATGTGGCTTTAACTTTGAAAAAACCTTTCAACATGCCAAAAGTAAAGTATGAGCAAAAAAATTGGAAAGAGTGGTTGCATGATGACAAAATTAAAAACTGGGGATATGACCAAAGCTTGTTGTAAGTACTGCAAGTGTGAAATTAAAGCGAAAATACAAAACTCAAAGAGTTATGCAGACACTAAAAAAGCATAAAACTGCAGTTTCATTTAAAGATATTACACCGCTGACATCTGTTTTCAGAACTATACTGATAAATGAATCATCAAAAGTTGAAGTATCAGTCGCAATGTTTTTAATTTGTCACTGCGCAATTTCAAACTGTGACCATTTGATCTATTTGTAAAAAATCTTGGACTAGTTTAATTTGAAAACTTTGGTGTAGAAAGTATAGTTTAGGAACTGAAGGACCTTTTAATCAGCAAACAGTTAGGCTTGAAGAATTTGGCTGTAATTGGTACTGATAATGCCTCAGTGATGGTTCGTATAAACAATGGCGTTTATGCCAAGTTGAAGGAAGCTAACCCATCGTTAATACTTATAAAATATGTGCGTCATTCATTGCAGCTAGCATTATCACATGCTTCATCTAAATATTTACCAAGGAATTTGGAATACCTTATTGCTGAAACACTTAACTGGTTTTCCAAATCATTTGTCAGACAACAGCAATACAATACATTATATACAGCCTTGAATGATGGTCCCACACCACCGAAAATTCTGTCAGATTGCAAAACTAGATGGTTATCAATTTAACCAGCTGTTGAAAGAATTATGAAGCAATGGCTGAAGTTGAAGACACACTTTGAAATAACAAGACAAAGTGAAAAGTGCTACACAGCTGAAATACTATATGGAATGTACAATGATGAAAATTTTTTTTTATTCATTCTCTTTTTATAACCTTTTCTAATAGAAGTGGAAAAAGTTAATAAACTGTTCAAATCTAAACTTGTTGATAAAGTTAAATTACTTGATGATATACCTCACCTTGCTATTTCACTCGGTAAAAGACTGGTGTTGCCAACTTCTAAAGCTGACTTGCTCACTTGCACTATAGAGAGCTATTTGGCTCCTAAGCCACACCTTGGATATTAAATCGAATCAAAAATTGATGATTTAAAAACAAAAGGACTGTTAACAGAGAATGAAAAGAACAACTTGAGAAAATGCTGTAAAGATTTCCTTATCTCATTATTGAAGCAATGGAAGCAGAGACTTCCTGAAAATCTAGATGTTTTGAAAAATATTTAACTTTTTTCTGTGAGCAACATACTTCAGCCAACAAAGGACATACCTAAATATTGTAAAGTTATGAAATTTTTAGGGGCTACTGATAATAGTGTGGCGGAAGCAGAATATCAGTTAACCAACATAAAGTTAGCTGAATGGACAAACAAAACAGAAACTGAAGCGTTTTGGAGTGAAGTGAGACAATTTAAAGATACCTCATTAAACAGTCCATTCTGTAAGCTCTTTAAAGTGCCATGTCTGCCATGATACTACCCCACTCAAATGCTGACGTAGAAAGAGTTTTCAGTGCTAGGAATTATATCAAATCTAACCTAAAATACAGGATGAAATTTGACCTCTTAAATGCTATCGTGCCATTAAAATTCGGCCTGATGAGACTAGAGAAATAAGCCTCCTGTTCCACTTATAAAGAAATTTGAACAGCTAAAGCATACCAAGGTCATTTTGGATCTGAAGCTTTAACTTCATTATCCAAGCAAAGTTTATCCAGTGGATCTTGTGAGGCAGACATCAGTGAAGGTGAGGACATGATTATGTAGGGTAAGTCATAACAAAAGCTATGTAATTTTTGACTTTTTCAATTTGGATGTTTTTTCTAGATCTTTTCCACTCAGATTTAGATCTTTTTAGATATTTTCTGACACCGTTTTTGATATTTGTTGTCATAGAAAAGTGGCAACACTGATAGAGACTGTTTGACAGA